ATCTTGAACCTAAGTGTTTGATATTCATATTTCGCTTTCTGGGTCAAAACTACTCGAATTTCCTCACTCACGTTGTTACGACTGAATCGACTTTTTAATTCTCTATCCAACGATGCCAAAAGGAATTCTGTGGCTCGAATGGTTTTTGAGAAACTTCGAAAAAAGCAGCGTCATGTTCAAGTGGATTTTGCAACTCAAAAAAAAACACGCCAATATAAAGCTTCTTGAATTCAAACATTTTTTGAGAAAACTGCCAACATTTGCTTATCGATGGTTGACTTTCTAAAAAGGCCAGTTATTTCTCTCTAGAATGATGTACAAATGAGCGTTCTTGCTCATTTTGCTTCCGAGAAATGAGCAAAAACGAGACGTAAAACATGAAATTTTGGCATAATCTTGCACCTAAGTGTCTGATATTCAAATTTCGCTTTCTGGGTAAAAACTGCTCGAATTTCCTCACTCACGTTGTCACGACTGTATTGACTTTTCAATTCTCTATCCAACGATGCCAAAAGAAATTCTGTGGCTCAAATGGTCCTTGAGAAACTTCGAAAAAAGCAGCATAATGTTCAAGTGGATTTTGCAACTGAAAAAAACCACGCAAAGCTAAAACTTCTTGAATTCAAGCATTTTTTGAGAAAACTGCAACATTTCCTTATCGATTTTTCACTTTCTAAATAGGCCATTTAGCTCTCTTTGGAATGATGTAAAAACGAGCGTTCTTGCTCATTTTGCTTCCGGGAAACATGCAAAACGGGACGGAAAACATTAAATTTTGCAATAATCTTGCGCCACCCTTGCGCAAAACGACGATCATTTTTCTAATTTCATATGTTAATTAATTAAATAAAGAATAGGGGTTGGCAACGCCGCCTAGTTGGGCAAAATTACGGTAGAGGTGGTTGCCTATATAAGGGTTGCACCCCTCATTTTTTTTGAAGAAGAAGAAAATTATAAAAACGATTTGTACCATTGAGAAAACTCGAGCCTACCTGGCTGTACTAATATATACAGTTGATTAAACACTATACAAGTGCCTTCTTATCCAAAAATTTAAACACGGCTAGCTTACCCAGCCACACGAAAGCGTTGGAGCTAGCACTTAACATCATAGACAACAGAAGACTGTATTTTTTCTACATAACCCCCTGAATTTAAACCTGGATCCGCCCCTGCATCTATCGTAGTTGGGACTCGATTTGACCAATCGCGTACAATATTGTTGTAAAGCAATAGAAAAGGTAGAACCTTAAATTGAAGTTTTCGCTTCAAAAATGCTTCGAAACCGGCCTGGGAGCGCTAGATTGGGACCCATTGCATCCAAGAACCTGTTCTAGATGAGCAATCCATAGAGCATAGCGATTCACAAGGAGCAATCGGTCAAAGACTTTCATTCCAGTTATTTTTGTTGCAACTAAAATTTTTGCTTGCTTTTTTAAGCAAGCACCCTGTATATAAAACGATCATCCCGTTATACTGCGGCCGAACGATTTCTCGGTTAAATTCGCCTCAACTCTCGTCAGTTCGAGTCCAACCACGGCGCAAGAAAACGACGTACGTGAAAAGCTTGGGTGTGTTGTGAACCTACATATTTGTGCTAAACATCTTGAATCCCATGATTTCCCACAGGATGTGGCCCTTGAATCCGCTCGAATGGTAAGTTGACTTCCTACTAGAGTCGATAGTTAGTGGGATCTTACCTTGGCCATCAAAATACACGGTAAAACATAGGATCAATGACCATTGGGTGGGTTTAGGAATCGCTCTAGTTTCCAGCTCAGACGTACGACCTAGTTTTTCTCTCTCTTGCAATTGGGCCATTTGCAATGGGGCTAGTCGCCTCATGCTGCTTGTTGTCATCAACAATTTGTTAACGCGAATCCCTAGGGCTTTAATTGGAATAATTAGGACTAGAATAGTAGTAAACGGCGGGATTTTATACAAATAAACGGCCTGAGTGTCTCAGCTTGTTTTGACCTGGTTTGCGTCGTTTAATATCGGTTATTTACTGGTGTTTACTCAATTACCAGTTTCGCAAACAATGTTTTATTAATCCCAGCCAGCATTTAACGTGGAAATCACCTGAAGGAGACGAAATTGTCTCAAAAATATGTCATGTCGAAACGGCGTCCATAAATGACGCTCACTGACGGCGCAAAACAGTCACAGTGACATTCGTTGTCATCTGTTTTGGTTGAAAAATCGGGTAATGTTCTCGTTTATCAGCCCCACGCGGTGGAAGTTGGCAATAGGCTCACCTTATAGATAATCTCTTCACTGACAACTTTTCTCAGTGGTGTATTTTTGGGAAAATGCGGTTTCCCACCACGTTTGCTACTTTTCCATAATAAACGAAAACCGTCTTCATTCCAATGCTACACCGGCAAAAATGAATGCTTCATAACATGGTGGCAAATTCCTTTTTTGCCCAAACATTTAAAAAATAAACGAAAATGACTGATCCAGAGAGTTTTAAGAAAGTAATGTGTCTTATGAAAAAAAAACTGCAAATATGTTGATAATTTGGAACGCAGCTACTGTTGGCATTTGAGCCGAAGTTTACGTGTGTCCAACCAAAGCGCAACTGGTTCTTTGAATTCTGACATTTTTTTGCCCCGTTTGTGCATAAAATAGTAGTTTTCGATACAAGGGCGAAAGACGGATTTTCGCCCTCGTATCGAACAATATTTTTTATTCGAATAAAGTACATAACACGAATAATAAGTTGTAATAAGTAAAAATAGCCAAAAATAAAAGCCGTCAACTTCATATTTAAAATTTGATGACAATGCCATTTTTGAAATTGTCATGTTTTGACGTTTGCAATGTTTCAAGAGCGTACTTTTGTAAGCATATACAAGTGAAACAATGAGTGTTGAAAATCCAAGTGCTGCTTTCACGGTATGGTGTTTGTATAAGATGCATATTTTGCATAAAATTTGCGATCTTTAAAAAATCGTGTTTTGCTTGTCTTGCATCGGCGAGTGTAAAAAATCGACCATTTGAACGACTTTGAGGCTGAACTTGTAACAATGTTATAATTTACAAATTGTAAGTAAACTTTAAATTATGATCAATAGTTCTCTATAAACCTACGTAATTCATTAAAAAAGAATGTGATTTACTTTTTAACGAAAATACTTCAAAATATTTTATGACAGTGACACGTCCAATTTGTCAGATTTACTTTACATGTGCGTAAAATAGTAAACAAAACAAACAGTAAAACAAATAAACAGTAAAGAAAAGTGCTTCTTTTTGATCATCGCTTCTGACACAATGGCACTTTTAGATTCATTCGAATAAAAAGAACATTTTGATGAACTTTTCTAAACACCCTTACTGTTTCTCGAATATAGAGGGTGATTCAAAATTGGCGTCATTCCTTTTAAGAGGCGATAGAGGCTTCTTTGGGAAGTACAAAAAAAATAATGAAAATTTTTTTTCGAAAATTTCTAGAAGATATTAACAGTTGAAGATCGAATTTCAACTTTGTTATTAAGCATTATTTTGAAATGGTTCCATGTTTAATTGGTAGCATATTGGAATAGTTAAGCATTCAAAAAGAAAAATTACGATATTTGCTTCAAATTACGAAAATTTTTGATATCAAAAAAGTTCGGGTTCCAAGCACAGAGTAACACGTATTGCACATAACCGAATCAGGGCCTCCCAGGGGCACTCAGAGCACAATAATTGACAATTTCCCAAGCACCAAATAAATAAGGGAGGAAGGGCTACATTCCTACCACGTTTGTACGATACAGGCACTAGCTTGTTTGGAGTTAACTATTCAAATGTTTGGTGTTGTAGGGTTTATTTATAAACACCCATATTCGAGGTTATGAGAACAGGTTGACATTTCGTCAACAAATCTTGTTGAATTTACCGTTTATCCTTGTCTATCTTATTGCCAGTCTGTATAATTCCATGGTTACCGGAGTTTTAAATAATTACGAAGCAACAGGTATTTGCGCAACGTTAATTAGGCAGATTACCTTGAAAAACATTGCTGCCGTATTTCTGATATAGTTTTTTACAAATTTCTCATCTTTTAATAACAATTAATTTATTTTACTATTTTTTCTGTACTCCTATAACAGCGACAGGCAACACTCCCAGAGGAATGACGCCAATTTTGAATCACCCTGTATTTTCCATCCACCACAAACAATGATTTTTCTCTCTAAACTGCTTGGAAAACACCGCCGTACTACAGTCGACATCCCGCTCGAAGGACTAAAATTATCGGGTGTTTATTTAAGAAAACTTACAAAAAACCCAGTCCTCCACTAATCGCTATTTAAGAGAAAATCATTCATAATTAATATGGACATTTTCTGGCAAAAATTCATCTAATAACCAGCCAAAAAAATTTGCGATTGTCGCTGGGCTAACAAAAGTGGAGGTGTTATGAAAAATGTAGTCATATTTGCGATGATCAGGCGATATTATTTAAATAGTCGTCGTCTGAATTGCAAAGCTAATTCCATTTATGAGGGTTCCATTATATTATGCCGCAATTGTTTTCGCCAAGGTTCCAGCCTGACCTTGCTAAACTTGGTAAGCAGCTGAGGCTTTTTGATTTCCTTAGAGAAAGCTGGCTGGTTTGGACATTCCGTTATTCTGCTTTTTTTTCTCGAAATTAAACGCGAATTCCCTTATCTAACATTTTAATAGACGCTTGTGTGTTAAGGGGGCTCGTTACGTGGAAAACGAGTTTCCTATTCAGCGGAAATCGGGTCAAAAGCTTCTCGAGTCAGCCCTTTTCCAAGATTCACATTCTGGAAGCAATTGAGTGCCCTGTTTATTAGGACTAACTTATCGTATAAGGTCGCAACCGGAAATATCTCGTACTCAATTTCTTATCAATAAAGTCTGGAACGTTTCTGACTTTTGAGGGTTTTGCCTGGAATGGAATAGTTACGAGTGAGTTGCACACAAAGTTAACAATTTGGAACGTAGTCGTTTGCAATTAAACTCAAAGAAAGCAATTTGCCATTGCCTTAAGCATTTTTTTCATATTCCTGCCGCGTTTCCGGCGACTTCTTGCTGAAGAAAGATCACATTCTGTGCATGATTTTCTAACGATCCATAGTTTATACGGGGTATTTAAAAACGTTGCAATTGGTAAATTGGCATTGGCTAATGTATGCTACTGACTTGAATAAAAATCAGAATGTATAGTTATTGTTCCTACAAAAAAATGTATTTAACAATAAAATACAAAACAGGTAAGGGAAAAAAGAAAAAGACTGACTTCTGTTCTGAATAACTTTTCAAAAAAAGTTTGACTGCGTATGTTGGGAAAGTGATTCCTGACTTGAATGAAATTCCCTGTTTTTTACACATCTTCCATCAGCTCCCTGCAATCACGTGATTTCCATTTTCTAGCGCCAAAGCAGTGCGTTGTACCAAAAGAACTCTAGAGATTTTTTCTCTTCCAAATTGAACACGAAATTGAAAAATCACAATTTATAAGTGGGGATGCCTGCAGCCACACCACTGGCGAAGCAACATAAAACATTGTTGCTAACCATCAAAGCATGCAAAATTTCATTAAAATATGCCAGGCGATTTTCGCTCTATGAATAAATTTGATTTGGTTTATAAACAAACATTTTAACAGCCAATGGATTGGAAACGAAGCGACTTTGGAATATGCTTTAGTGCGAAAATAACGCCAAAGTTACTTGTACGACTTGCCATTGCAAAAAACTCCCCTAAATATAATAAATTATGTTAAATTTTCCCTTGTAGGACCCTTAAATCTCACTTAAGTAAAGTGATGCGTTCCAAATGGACAACATTTTAAACTGTAACGATGCGGCGTTGTACAAAGTTTCCCAATTGCTTTGCATTGGCCCTGAGGATGTCTAAATAAACATGGCAAAACGTCGCCAATTTTAAAAACATTCTTGCTAAATTCTCTTGATATTAAATCAAACAGTTTCTTGTTCTCTTGGTTTAGACCTCACTAAAGGCACGGTTTTTCCTTGTAAACTTGCAGATGTTGATGGAGAGCTAGACTAGATGCAAAAATGGACAGCGGCAGCACGCGGGGATCCACAGGAGCGCTGTCCAGCAGCGTGGACAGTATAACCGGACACAGTATGCATCATTCACTGTCCACACCAGCCGGGGTTGATGGAGGCGCCAGGACTCCGCCTGCCACGCCTAAGAAAGGGGGCAAAATGCTGGCTATCAGGGTGCAGATGCTGGATGACACTGTTACAGTATTCCAAGTCCAGGTGAGCATCCAAACTGTTCTGAAAGGTTTTGAAAGGCATTTCCGTTGAATTGTGTAGATGAGAAAATAGTGCTCTTCTCGCTGCCTTTTTAAGCGCACACCAGCAATTTTATTGTTGAAAGTTTGTTTGAGCATGACAAATCCGAAGGCGTGTTGTGTGTAAATAAGCAACTAAATTGTTAATAATAAAACGTTACCAGTTTAGGGGTCACACATATTTTTATTAATAGTTGATGTATTTGTTTAGTTCGGTAATATGCTACAAGCGTGGGCTGTTGCTTCTAGAGTGAGCGGGGACACGAAAATTATCGCATATGGGCGTTTTTCTTTAGTTTCACTTTTCAGTTTTAAAATAGTTACAGTTCAATTTAAATATCAGCCACAAAATATAGTTTGAGAAGAGATTTATCGGCGTTTTTATTTATCTGCAATCTATTCTGACCCCTGGTTTAGCTTCATATCGTTCATTCCACTTGTAATCGCGTTTCTCAAATATTTTATTGATCCGTACCTATCTAGTCTTGTTTGTACAAATATTTACTTACTGCTCTTCCAGTACTTTGGCTTTATAAAGGCGTTGTAGTACGCTTTTTCTCACTTAATTTTTGAAGCTGACGCAAGACGCAAAAGTAAGAAAATGTAAAATTTTGAACAAAGCCAATATATTTGGTAATATAAAACGATCTAAATATCTAAGGAGTCATCGAATCTCGATAGGGCGTTTCGAAAATTTCCTTTCCTTCTTCAGAGATCCAAATTGCTAGCCTTCAAAGGGGTTGAGCCAAAATCGGATAAATCCATTTTACTGGACTTTCATTTCTAACTTCGGAACGGCTGAAAATGTCGTTAAATATAATCATTGGGATGTTTTCGATAGAGCG